TGCTACTGCTACTGCTGCTACTACGCGCTTGTATTTGGCCGTAAAGTTTTTCCAACATTTATCTCTTCGGCTCTTCCAAAATCAACATCCTTCTCAGGGTTTTTGGCTTGTGGAACTTTCATGTGCAAAATATGATGAATGCGTTTAGTACTACCAAGTGACCAAGTACACAAAACACTGCGAGGGCGATCGATTTTGCAGTTAAGGAGAAGATCTTTTTTGCAACTGCCGAAGTAGTTCGCTTAAATTTTGTGATTGAACGTACAGAGACATGAAAAAAGGTGTGTTGGATAAGAAATCAATGTCCTCGCCCTGTAGGCTTTCTAAAACTGAACAAGGTAGCTGAAGAACAAAGACGCATATCAGGAAACCTTCAATATCCCAGCACGTCAAACTCAAAACCCTAGGCCGTAGTCCCTCAACCCTAGACCCGAAGTCTTAAACCCTGAGCCCTGTCCTGCCAGAGACATGAACTGGGTATGTCATCAGCACTGGCTCGGCGTTGGTATTTTTGAGGACAAAAAGCGACAAGACAGGAAGAGGTAGAGCAACGATGAGGGAGGAAAAGGAGAGGAGAACCTAGGAGAAAGGAGACTCAAGAGAGGGTGACCGTTGTAAAGATTAGAGTCCAGAGGTGGGAAGGGATGGCATGAGAACACATGAGAGAAGAGGATACGAGCCGGGACAAACGCGCAGGATGGCACAGGAGAGGTCAGGAGGAATCAGACCAGGAAAAGGCGAGAGAGTGGGAGAGCTGGAGGGTGCGGGAGTGAGGGAGGACGAGAAAGGAGAGGGACACGCACACGCGACTTTGCAGCCATTGTGCTCATTTGGCTGCGCAAATTAGCAGCCTGCACATCTGGCAATCGTTGAATACCTGCTCACCCCTCCATGTGTGAAAGCCGCGCTAGAACCTCGAGCCATGCAAGGGATCAGAATCCAACAATGGGGCCGTGGCGAAGCCCGTGCGAAAACCATAACATATGAAGCAGCCAAGCTTCACTTCTTCGCGATGAAAGGTGGCCATTTTCACTGTCGCCCCATCCTCTTTCAGCTCCAGCAAATGTCCATCAGCATGTCCCAGGACCAAAGAGTCACTGGCTTCGATGTGGGCCTGAGTTTTGCAGCTGGAACTAAGAGGTTCGCAGCTAGGCTCTCTGACGGGAGTTGCAGATGTGAACAGCACCATTCCGCCATCATAGCACCGAGTCTCCAGTGCTGTGACTGCCAGGTCAGACCGGTACAGCTCCTGCACATCTTCAGCGGCGGAATTGTGCGTCGGTATCTTGAGCACGGAACCATCCTGGCGCAGAGCTTCCATACTCTCAATGGTCACACTCGCTCCGCCTATCAGGTTACGCCGCACACAGAATGCGCGGCACAGCTTAACTGACATATGCCCAAATGCTGCATACAGTACAGCGCTGCTGTAGTTTTAGCTGTAGGCAAGAAATTGCAGATCGGAAAGGCCTAAGGCCTGACCTTAACTACCTTGCTAGAGACAGAATGACGAAGCATGACAAAGCAGCATAATGCAAGCGTTGCGATATGCAGTTTGCCTGGCACCCAGCATACAAAGCTTCTCGCCCCGATGTCAAGCAATGCACAGGCTGTCCGCAATCCAGCGGAGGTCCTAGGTGCCCAGCACGTGACTTAAGCGCACCGCTTGACCGCAAAGTGCTTCTGAGTGGCTTGTGGAGCCTACAGCGCCACTTTTCTCCAGGTCAGCAATGTCCCAGAAATTAATTCTGCCATCAAGCGTGCTGCTTGCCAGCCAGCGGTCGCACTGCACGAGGCCTCAAAGCAAATTGATTCCCCCTGCTTCATACAGCGCACCACAGCGTAGCAGCGTTTAAGTCCAGGTGGCTAGTAACTGGCTGGCCCGAGATGGTCTCTGTCTCAGGGAAGGCCACCGCAGCGGTGGTCACCCCACATCCTTGAAACTTTGTGAACCGTACAGAGCAACGCAACAGCAACGCTTCCTGCAGTTCTGCAGTCTCCGACGTTCTTGCAGATCCTTGCGTGACAGGAACCTCTGGTCTTGGAGGATTTGAAGTATGCAGCCCGAAGCTCTCCAGGCCATCAGTTTGCCGTCAGATCTGCCAGTAGCGATGAGCATATGGCCCGCAGCACTCAAACCCGACCACAGCGCTGTCACCTCGTACGGCATGTGAGACCCTGCCACAAACCTGGGCTGTCATATTTGCAGCTGGCCCCAACAAGATAACACCTGAGAAAAGCAAGATGACCCTGGCACCACACATGTCACCGTACATATCGCGCAGACCAAACATGGGCCTCTGGCGGTGAGCCTCTTCTTGGAGGGCTACTTTGCAGTTTGCATTTGAGGGATACAAATGGAGCCTTCATATGTACAGGCACAAAGAGGCGGGAAGTGCTACTGTACTTACTTGGAGGTTCAGAGCCGACTTCTAGGCATCATAAGTTCAAGTGTCAGATTGCGCTAGCAAACCTTCTGCCATGCTGCTCTCCGGCATGACCACCGCTAGACACATCCATTGCCCGCACGCGACCGGCGCTTCCAAGAAAAAGCGTGTCGTCAAATATTGACATTGCTTGGACAGCTCCAGCCTGGGAGCAGACTGGGAGCCGAGTCAGAACATCACTTGCAGTTTCTTGCAGTGCGCCGAGGTCTGCTAGCCCCATCCTCGTGCCTCATAGCCCACCACCTGCATCGGTGATTCCGTGTGGGCAGGTCCAATATGGTACACAGAGCTTTCCCACCGCCTCGCGCAAGCGAACTCGGGTAAGGGCTGGGGGGCATGAGGAAAGCACCAGAGATGCTGCCGCTTGAGGGCGGGTCAAAACCCAGGAGCTCTATCAGACCAAGCAGCTAGGGCTTGTGAAATCGCAGAATGGAGTGTCTAAATAAACTTGAGGGGCAAGCCGAGGCCAAAGAAGCTTTAGAACGAAAGCAGCAAGGAAGATTCATGCAGCCACCAAGCATGTTTTTTTTGCACAGTGACCTTGGCACAATCACCAGCATGACGTTGTTTGTCATGAGCTTTTAAAGGCAGCCAACACAACCGGATATGTACCCAGGGTTGATGCAATGACGAGCCTTGTCGTACCATGAACATGCCAAGGGTTGTGATCACTAAAGAAGGGTAGGGCAAAACCTACTTTGCGATTGCCAGCTCGTCTCACATGCCTGCGTCATATGCAACAACATCCAGGCTCACAGGGCGGCGAGAAGCACCAATGACCGCGCGGCGCTTCTGAGATGGTGGAGAGCCATCTCTTCGTGACATTTGTAGAAATAGTGTACAAGGACCAAGTATTCACACCAAAACAGCAAATTTAAGAGCTTTTGCAGCTCGATGTGTCGGAGCACTTGGCAGTGTTTTGTCACTGGCCACAATCTGCCGCATTGAACAGCGACAGGCTTAGAAGCAGAGGAACAACCATGCGCCAGTTCACCTTGGCCTCTCCGCTTCCCCCTCCCAGCCCAGGGGCAATTGTTGCTGGGGCACCTGCCGGCCAGCCCCTTTTCGCCTCAATTTGTCCCGTTTGGCTTTTTGCTTCACAGGTTCCGGGCCTGTAAGGCATGAGGAAGACCTCTGGGAGGCGGCTGCAACGATTGGGGGTTGAGCAAGCCCCTTTTCAAAGCATCCAGGTCACTCAGCCAAAACTTAGTGATGATATTGGTTCCGCAGCATGTCGGGAAAGTTGCCTCTAGGTGGCTGATGATAACTCCTGGCAGGTAACTCTGCCGAGGCAACTGCATGCAGCGCCGGTAGAGCTCTACATCCACAATGCCCGGCGCTCATCCTGCTTGATTTTTTAATAGTCTGGGCATGAAGCGCTACGCAAACATGGCATGCCGGGTGCCAGCAGGCTTCCCACCAGTTCCCTGCGCATCCTCCTGCCTTCCCGTTAACTTGACGCGGGCACGTGTAGACATTTGCAAGTGGCATCAATTAGGTATAATTAGGTAGAGTTTTGCCAGCTTGTGATGGGACAATATAATCCTGACTGATGCGCCACACAATGCCTTGCACGCATGTTTGTTTCACCCGTACACTTAAGGGGACGCGTTCAGACGGTCAGGGCTCGACTCTCAGGTAGGCGATGTAATGTTGCACCATGTTGCCCTTTTCACACGAGAGATCCGGTATCATTTTTTGGAGGAAATGATTCGGAATCTGGTATTGTCTGAAGGGTGCGAGGTTATAACAAAAAAAGAGAGGTGCCCTAGATAAACAGTCAGCCAAATCCTTTGCTTCTCTCAGGGTTAGCGTTAGCTAGGGAGAGCGTATTCACAACAGATACAGCTTCCAGGTGCTTTTTTGAGACTACTTTTTCTCTTGGACCAGGATATCTTTGAAACTGAAAAATCCTTTAACCTCAGGCCTTAAAGGATGTCAATTCCGTAGCTAGCGCCAGAGCAGCACCTCTGCCTATCAGGCCAGATTTCAGAGGCGCCGACATCCAGAAACTATGAGACCCCAGCTCCGCATAAACCGCTCTTCGGGATTCTACGAAAACAATCGAGCCGTGACTTTCTGAAAGGAGAGTCCAGCAAAGGCCTGGACTCACTTTAAGCAGTTGAGCAATGGTTTTTATTCCTTCTTGATTTCTTTTCAAATAACAACCCTTCCGCCCGCGACCTTCCGCGGA